TTTAAATATTACTTCCGCTCGCGTTTATTAATTTGTTCAAGAATTGGCCGAAGGTAACTTCAGTTACTGGCCATCACGATACTTAACCCTTGGGTACGGGGAGCGGGTCATGACAGTTTGACTAATCTGCTCCGTCTGTCTGTCTCAAGGCCAACGGTGAGTAATAACTTAATAAAGCTATGTTCAACTGTATCTGTTTTCTGTGTGATAAAATAAGACCTGTTTTCCGAAATGATATGTTCTGTATAATGAATGATTGTTCAATTTCTGATATATATTCGTGACATCCTTAGCATCATGTGATATCCGTTGGCTGTTACCCGGTATTGGAGGTTCCTTTATGGAACTTAATCTGTCTACACTCTATTACCCATACCGGAGGCTCCCTCACCGGGGCTCAGCGTATCTGTTCTCTGTTACCCGGATCCAGAGGTTCCTTTATAGAACTGGCTATTCGTAACCCTCACGTGTCTGTATCTGTTCTGTATCTGCTCTGTTAATGCTAATGGATGTATCACGTAAATGTAAGCATGACTCGTGATCTCTGTATATGATCTGGACAAACTATGAATTTGATACAAAACTAAATTATGATTTCTGAACCTGTACAGACTCATTAATTGCAACCCCTTTACTCTGCTATTGTTCACTGGGCCTTCGCTCACAGTTTATATTATATATATAGGTGAGCCGGCATATGACCAGGGCCAGAGTTGACAGCCTTCAGTTCTGTTTTTGTCAGCCATCCGTTATGCCTTCCGAGGAGGTTCCGATCATAGTATAGTTGCATGGTTGTTTTTGTACTTATGCTAGTCTCTGTGACTGTTTATAAAGTCAGGTCTTGGGAAGTACACTTCTGTAGATATTTGTAAATATTGGTGTCCTTTGACTGGCATCCTTATGTATATATATATAAGTTTTGAAATCTTCTGTCCCATGTACGTTATCACAGCTTATTGGACCTTGTCTGTTCTATATAATTGCTTTCACAGCCCCCTTACTTTTTGCTAATCTGTTCAGAGGCCTTTGGTGATCCACGGATTACTGGCCGATTACGAAGCTAAACCTATGGGGGCGGGTTTGGATCGTGACAGTTGATGACATGTTAATTGTGGGTCAAGATTACACTATGATTAACAGGTTGAAATTAGAGTTGAGCAAGTCTTTTGCTATTAAAGATTTGGGGCTGGTAAAGCAAATACTTAGTATGAAAATTATTCGTGATCCCAAAAAGGGGCTGATTTGGTTGTCTCAAGAAAGCTACATTAAAAAAGTTCTTGAGAGGTTCAACGTGGATAAAACAAAGTCGGTTGGTTATCCACTTACGGGTCACTTCAAGCTTAGTTCGAATCAATGTTCTACAAGTGAGAAAGACAAGGAAGAGATACAGAAAATTCCTTATGCTTCAGCGGTTGGTTCTTTTATGTACGCTATGGTTTTTACAAGGTCGGATATTGCTCACATCGTTGGCGTGGTGAGTCGTTTTCTCTCTAATCCTGGTAAAGAACATTGGGCAACGGTAAAATGGATTCTAAGGTATCTTTGAGGGACTTCGAACGTGTGTTTATGTTTTGGGGATGGTAAGCCGATGGTTGATTGGTTCACAGATTCTGACATGGCCGGTGATGTTGATTTTAGGAAATCTACTTCAAGGTATTTGATGACTTTTGCAGGGGGGCTGTGGTATGACAATCTAAACTACAAAAATATGTTGCTCTCTTAACTTCTGAAACTGAATTTATTGCAATTGCAGAAGCTTGCAAAGAAGAGTTATGATTGAAGAAATTTTTGTAGAAGTTGGGTTTGAAGCAAGAAAGGTATGTGCTTTATTGTGATAGTCAAAATACTATTCATTTGAGTAAAAATTCTACTTTTCAGTCAAGATCAAAACACATTGATGTAAGATACCATTGGATTTGTGATGTGTTAGATTCGAAATTGTTGCAACTAGAAAAGGTTCACACGAATGATAATATTTCAGATATGTTGACTAAGACTTTGTTGAGGGACAAGCATCTGAAGTGTCGAACTTTGGCAGGTATGGTTGATGTCTCCACCTAAGTCTGTAGGGGGAGAATTGTTGGGTATATCTCCTTATTGGAGTATGGGACCCAATTGGTTTATTAAAATATTTAATTTGGTTTGGTGTTGATTAGAATACCTAACTTTTGGAGGCCCAATAGGTATTTTATAATCAGCTTGATAGTAGCTAGGGTTTTGTTAAAAAGCCCAAGTTTCAACAATATATTAATATATTTTTTTTGTTCTTCGATATATCCTGTGGCTATAATTGTTTTGTCTCCTCGGTGCGGCGGCTGCTATTATCACAAATTGATCAATTTGGTGGGTTTGTTCTGGGAGCACTGTTTTGGAGTTTTGTTGTTGACAACTTCGGCTCAGAAGGTGTTGGTTTGGATTCATTATTTTGGGTCTTCTACAACCTGTTTTGAAAACTTTTGTTCATCTATTTGGTGAGATATTTCCCCTTGATTATTTGTGATTATTTGGAATTCACCTAAGGGTGGTTTTGTGAGACCATTCGTGTCTCGTTTGTAATCGTTTGGAAACTCTTTGGTTGATAGTGAAATCGGATTTCGATCCCATGGACGTACTTCACATTGAGGGAACCACGTAAAAATTCTTGTTTCGTTATTGATTTAATTTTCCCGCATTAGTTTTTATTCTCTGTAACGCCCTGAAATAAATCAACATGAACTAACCACATTAATCAACATTCGTTAAATAGTGACAACAATGCTTCCATCTTTACATAGTTAATAGATGAATTTATACAAAAGTTTCACATGCCGACATACATTCAATGATAAAAGAACACATGAATCTATAGCATGTGGAACATCTAATCTCAAAATAATAAAATGCCCTTACGGGCTTACATCTTCCAAAGCAATAGCCGGTTACACAAAAAGGTCTCTCGGACCCATACACGTTTAGCCCTTAGCGTACAAAAATTTACAACAAAAATAAGAGAGCTATTTACTCTTCACAAAATATCCACGCCCTCAATTCGGCGGGATCACCACATCTTTACCTGCACCAAATCCCATAGGGGTGAGCATAAAGCCTAGTAGAGTATTCTCACAAGGTATATGCAGTTATGCAACTCTCAATAAAAATGCAAATATCCATACCATGCCATGCTCTTTTAAAGAAAATTCATTTCATGCTCTTTTTGAAGATTTCCGTTTTTCAATAAAAGCTTGCAATCTCAGCACATTTCAAAACTTCCATTTCAAAACAATAGAAGCGGTAAATACGACACTGGTAATCCCTAGGCTGGTGTCTGCAAGTAGACTTTACGAGTACTACCAAACTGTCATTTTTACCGGTATTAACCGGAAAGCTCAACACCTATCTACGCGAGTTTCTAGTCTTTCACCATGGACACTCAGGCCAACTTATCAAATTCAACTACACCCCCTATCCGGACTTACCACGTATTCACCTCATTCACATTACCGTAGTTCTCATTGCAATATAATCTTTCTTAAAGTAAGCGTTTTCCAATTCATTTCAAGATGTGCAATAAAGATAGTAAATCATATGAGAATATGATACAATGCATGATATCTCATAACATTCCTCCATTTCAAACATCTCTACAACATTATCAATTAATTTCGTTTTCTCACTTCTTCTCTTCTATATCAATTCACAAAATAACCACTTGCCATAAACCCATGGCAACATCAATTTCTCATCAAGAACAATTAATAACAATTAGCCTCGTCAAGACTACACGTAATGTTTTCAACATTATAACTATAAGATTTTATAATTTACAAGTTCCATGGTGCACAACCATTTACCACCTCACAACCATACATGTTCAAATGTTTAGTAATAATGTTGACGTACCATCTCATTTCTCATGTAACAAGTAGATGGCCATTTTACTACACATAAGATGAAGTTATTCTCATTCATTCTCTTGACACAAGGAAAACAAGGAATTTCATAGGCATTTTCTTATTTTCCAAAATCCCCCAAAAATTACCTAGGGTTTTTCCATCAAAACAAACATTTCTCATCCCCTTGAAGAAACCCTATCAAACCATCTTTCTTGAATTTAATAAATAGGCAAACCCACTAGGATTAGTAAAAAGATTTGAGCTTTAAACCCATTTTGAAAACTCTCTACATTTTAGATCACAAAATCAAAATTCACACCAAAACTTCAAGGATCCCTACCTCAACAATGCAAAACATGTATATATTTCTCAAGAATCCCTACCTCAAGCTTGATGAAGAGACAAAGAAGATGAAATCCTAAAACCAAAAGATGGGAGAGCTTTCACTTTCACCACACCAAGTGAAGCTCTAGCCCTTGATCTTCAAGATTAGAGGGAGATGATGATGATCTTGACTCAAGATTTGTAAGAATCAAAGTGTTTTGGGTGTTTGAGAAGGTTTTCTAGAGAGAGGGGGGAGAAAATGACTTTTAGAGAGAGAGAGAAGGGGTCGAAAGTGAGACAAATTCGACCAAATAGAGAAATAAAAACAGGGTTTTCGGACTGCCAGCCGTCCCGCACGTGCGGCTCCCAACCCCGCACTGGCGGCCCTCCCCGCATGCACCTGCTCCGCACCTGCATTTATTGCAGTGTGCAGCCCCAACTCTCCCTTGAAATCCGCACGTGCGGCCCTGGCCCAAGAGCACAAACTTTTCTAGTTCAAACCCCAGGGCATTTCGGACTCAACCGAGCATCCTCCGCAACTAGTGAAATTCAACACCGGCAAAAATAGAACAAGAATTTAATTGAGAAAACCCTCCGGAACAAAAGAAAGGCAACTCAAAATGAACAAGTATGAGAATAAAAAGAAAAGGGGCGTCCGGACACAACAATCCCAATGAAAAGGAAAACGAAGATACTTAAGGTAAAACCGGTCATCACATTCTCATTGCTTGATTTACTTGTGGGGAACCATATATTTTCCCTAACAGAAGCCTGATATTTTGGGGATCTATTATAATGCGGATATAGCTAAACTGCTCATGTATTATATAACTGATAATTGAACGTTACAATTTACAAACAAAACTTTTCTCTCAAAATATGCTCTAGAACTCTAGGATTGAAAAGTCTTGCATTCTGTTTGTGACAAGAACCTCTCTACTCTGGGAAGGAGGAACCTGGCAACAAAAATTTCCTCTAGACTGGTGTCACTTATGGTAGATTTGTAGTATACGTGTATGCAGTAAACTAGGCCCCAGGAAACCTGTAATCCCTTATGTCTATCTGCTCAGCAGGAGTCTGCATTGGACTGAACTCGGTTGGTAGATGGCTTGCCCATCTTCAAGCAGTCAATTGGAGGAGTGGTGGTAGTTTTTGACACTCCATATGTCTGCCAACAGAACGGTTCATTCAAATTGTTGTTTTCTAATTGTATTGCTTTGAGCTGTATAGTACTTAAAGTTATTCCCGTGCATGGCAAGCTGTCGCTGCACGCGAAATGTACGGGTTTTACTGTGTAAGTCCCTATTATATTCTGATAGGATATGCCTGAGATAGCCACTGCTGATGTTTCATTCTGGCACTTGTTCCCGTCACAGTAGTATTGATCTATCATGACAGGAGTTTCAACTTCTGAAACTTGAATGTTGGAGAACATGATTCCTTGCACTGAGCCTGAGCCACCCTGCATTAGAACAAAAATAAATTATGGTTAGATCATTGGTTTAGGCACATAAGATAAGATTTTAAAGATTTTTTAATAAGGGCTGAAGCTATGTTATGTGGAACGTGGATTTTGGTCTGTAAGGGTAGACTTGTCTAGATTATACTATTAAAATTTAAGTTACTCTTAGGGTAGTTCTCTTTTAGCAATTAGACATTCAATAAAATTTAGTTTATTGTTTTCAATTTAATCATGTATAAAAACATTTTTATGAACATCATGACCCATTTCATACATTTTATTATGCCAAAACTCCACTCTCTTTAGATTTTGGTTCTTATATTTGATTTTCTTTCCACCTAAGGAGGCCTAAAGAAAATATATTGGGGAAAAAAAATTGGGATCATTAAAATTCACCGTTTTGAAACAAAAATGTACCATGTTTTGGAACATGCCTACCCAAATGTACATCGCTATGATTTTAGCATATTCTAGCAACACTGGTCTGAAGGGATACCAAGTCCATGGTCAGATATTTGGGGTAGTGTACGTATTAATATGAACAAATTTCTTTCCACAATTCTGTTTTCTGTTTCTTACGACTGTCAAAGGAGAATTAGGAATAGTTATATATACCTGCCATGTCTTTATCCTGACACCAGTTAGTGTGTTGCTCATTGTGCTGTCCCTGACTGTTACATTTGAGACACAAGCTTTTGTGTTGTCTCTTCCTAGCCCCCCAATACTGATTCCATGTCCGGGGCCGCAATTCACATTGTGTATGTATACACCCGAGCACCCAGTCTGGATGGAGACACAGTCATCTCCTGTAGAATGTAGTGATTATACATTTGAATATCAGAAATTCGTGTTTCTTAAGGTTATTGCCCTGCTTTCTAGGAGATTTCTAGGAATTGAGCTATATTAGTCGGTCAAATTTGATATTTCTTTGTGAATTAAATACTAGTATACAGTGAAGATGACAATGACTTTATGCTAAACAACAGTTTGGATGATGTTCTTTACGGAAAGAGGATTAAACAACCATTTCTTGGATTTGCATAATTACCGCAAGCAAGACTAGTGCTGTGGATCACAACATCTTGGGAGTTCTGTAGGTGGATTCCATCTGTATTGGGACTGTCACCGGGGGATGAAACTCTCATATCAAAAACCTGAACAGTCGTGCAAGTGTCAAATTTGAGGTGAGTTTTAGGGCTGTTTTGAATCATTATCCCAGTTACTGTAACATCAGAACTCCCATAGAACCTGAGTGCCTGCATAGACACCACCATATTGCAACTCACAATTTTCAGTTTTGCTGCAAGATTGTAAAATGTAGATGCAAACAGGTTATAACTTAAATGTCGCAATACAAATAAGGTTAATTAGATGTACTTACTGTTGGCATGGTGCTTGGCATCTTTCCGGTGGCCTCGCTAGTAATCTGGCAGGCAATGAGGTCTTGATGAGAAGACATGGTTAGTTCAATATTAAGTTCAAATGTGGTAATGGCTGCTTATAGTCTTAGAAATAGCATTGGCCTGGTTAGACCATCTAAAGATTGGCACCAGGCCAGGCCGCAAAAATGGCACCCAAGCCTACTTGCGGGCCAAAACTTTAGGCTGAAGCCCTCACCAATGGGCTTGCCTGCAGGCTTAGGCCTATTTTTTTATGTTTTATTTTTTTGTTATTTCATTTTTCTTTTATTTTTTCATATTTTCTGTTGGGCTCACTAGCCAGGGATGCAGGTTGCTTCACACGGGCCAACGGGCAGACCATTTCTCACGGGCCAATTGGCCAGGTTGGTCTCCAATCCCTTAGACCCAAGCCTCATTCTGGCTGGTCTAGCCCACCTGGGGTACGATTAAAAATCCGTCCGGGCACTGGCATTTGGGTCAAATGATGACCCTTTGCTGCATCAGTGCACATGCTATTTCACATGATTCAGTTTTTACCACACAATACAATCATGTGTACCTAATTATATGAATTCACAGTGACAATGACCATCAAAGTAGGCCTGACAGAAGTTTGAGCAGTTTACCGAATCCCGTGAATTGCTATAATTTGATTCTCTAGTTGAAGATGCAGCTGATTCTAATTTGTTTGTTGGATTGTCTGCAGGTGAGTTGTTCCACCAGACTGAGCCTTGTCCATCAACAACACCTTTACCTCTGACTGTAATCCCTTGGAGCTTTGTGAATTCAAGCCATTGTAGGGTACCAGATCCCCAAGCGTCAGAGCTTGTAGTAGCAATGATCTTACCATCCAACTGCAGCAGGTTAGAGAAGTAAACCTCAGAGCTTTCAACCTTCCAAGCACTAATCAATTTGTTGAACTATATGAATAAATTCTAAGTTGAAATTACTTCCAATTGCTAAACCACTTATCGCATTGTGTGAATATATATATATATATATTTTGTCACAATGTGAATAATTGTATTAATAGTTGACACTAATGTATTAATAGTTGTGGTAGTGATGATGGTGGTAGGGTCGTGGAGGTCAAGGTGGTAGTGGTGATGGAGGTGGTAGTAGGGATTAATCTTCACCTTTTGAAAGTAACTTTTTTCATTAGTTTTTGTTTTTCATCATACCAAGTGTTAAAAATACAAATATATATATATATATATATATATATATTTCAAAATATATTTTCTACTGAAACAAACGAAGTGAGAAGATTTAGAAAGGCAGAGTTTATGATGTGTTCACTTACCTGAAATACAATGTTTGATTTACAATTAGAGCCTGAGAAAGAGATGGGGTTGAGTAGGAACACAGAGCCTGACGGAACCACCATTGTTGATGCCTCCACCTGACAAGCATCTGCCCACGCAGCTTCAAATGCCTGCCAATGCATTCTCACACCAAGTTAGACATTTCCACCCCCTACCCATCATTCCTATTTCCTAGCAAAATTAAGAGCCGCTACACTCGAGCAAAACTTAGAGTTGCAGATCACCTTTGTGTCGTCTGTATTTCCATCACCCTTGGCACCGTAGTCTAGTACATTGAAGTTGTCAGAGTTAGCACCAGTTTGTAGCACCATCCTAGTAGGCTCTGCTTGCATCGTGCGACCCTCTTTCATCAACCTTGACACACGACTCACACGACCACTACCATTCCAGCTGAGCTTCCCTTCTCTAGCAATGCAAGTACCATAGTTCAATGACCAGGCTAGCAAAGCAATGAGAAGGGCAAATGCAGGACTTCTTACACTAAAGTTCCTTCTCATCTTTCTATGAGAGAGAGACAGAGAAACAGAGAGACAGAGATGTGAAGTCCTTGAGGAGAGGGAGTTCTAGACTCCAGTGGGTTAACAAAGACGAGCGACTCTGGCGTATATATAATTTGAATTAGCATAAGCTCATATATAAGACTCTGCGTACACATGCAACGCAATTATTTTTTTCTTTCTCAGGGGTTGTTTTGAAAAGTGCTAGATTAGTATACTTGTTGATTTTTTTATGAAAAAACCTGAAATATGGGTTGGGTTTGAAGTAATATGATAGAGAGGTGATGTGACCTAAATAAAATAATTGTAACCCAAATAAAATAATGTACTAAAATAGCATGTGCAATTCTAGCACATGCCAAACAAGCACTTTGTATTAGATTATTATAAAATTTTCACAAAAGGGTGAGCAAAATGCAACTGGCAACACTTCACATCTTTTTATAGTGTAAAGGGCATACCTAGTTAGGGCTGCAAATGAATAGAGCCGTTCGTAAACAAGCTCGAACTCGGCTCGATAAAAGCTCATTCGAACTCGGTTCGTTAATTTTTTTTGCCGTTCGAGCTCGAGCTCAAGCTCGTTAAATTTTTAATAAACAAGCCCAAACATTCTAAAGCTCTGCTCGTTAGCTGGCTTGTTTAATATTTATTATTTATATATTAAATAATATAAAATTATGTATAAAAAATAAAAGAAATATGCTATTTACATATTTAAAAAATATAAATGTAAATAATACTTAACTATAGACAGTATATTTATATAATAGTAGTAGTAGATATTATTATTTTAGTAAAATATGGACTTTTTTTTAGTATGTTTATATATGTTGTATATATAATTATATAATCAAAGCTTTAATTGTAACTTTAGTCTCACATGCAAGTATGAATTTATAAATTTGTTGGCTCGTTAAGGTTCGTGAACAGGCTCGAGCTTGAGTCGAGCCTAAGCCAACTCGGCTCGAGCTCGGTTCGTTAAATTTTTATTCAGCTTAAGCTCGAGCTCGTTAAAATCTTAATAAATAAGTCCAAACACACTAAAGCTCGGCTCGATTCATTTGCAGCCCTATACCTAGCGCATGAAACTCCCGCTTAAGCAGAGTCTGGGGAAGGATTGAAGCCTTACCCCTACAAACGAAGAGGCAATTTCTGCGACTCGAACCCATGACCACCACAGGTCACCAGGGGTAGCTTTATTGCTACGCCAAGCCTACCCTTCACATCTTTGTATAGTGTAGATTAAATTATTTCTTTGTTTATTATTTCCCTTTTTCTAATTGTAAATTAACTATATAACCTGTCATACATAACACATTCAGTTATCGAAAAAGGCATAAATATAACCTAAAAATAACATGCTATTAATACAATTTAACATAGAAGCTGGACTATCTCCAATCCCATCCTAATGTAGGACTGGACCATTCGGTTTTGGGATCTTGAACTCCTTACAAGCTTCATTTTAATGATTAAAAACTAGACCGTCCAATTCGATTATAGTATGGGAGACAAGCCAATAACATATTAGGATTATTGTTTTTAGAGTCTAATGCGTGAACAATGCACAATTTTTTATTGGTGCAAAATGGTAGAGTTTACAATTTTAGTTGGAATCTATTCACTTTTTAATGTGGTCTACTATTTTAAATCAATGATATCTTCTTCTTTGCCAAAAAAAAATGATGTCTTCTTCCTTTTTTCACATACTTTCATTTCTTGTTTTCATGGTCAAATCAAAAATATTTTGGTAAGAATACCGTGTAGGAGAGGTCTAATTAAAGACTAAGATCAAATATATTGTGGTCTTTTGAAATGTATGATTTTCTTGGATATCATGAAGATTGTCAATTAAAAATAAAATATTTTAGACAAAAGAACAAAATTATGGGTCTGATACGTGTGGCGTGCAATGTCATGCAAGTCTCTCGTGAAAAATTTGGAGAATAATTTTGAAATCATGGACCGCAATACTTGTTAGTGTTGAGCATGTGATGATGTTTTTGGTGGTGAGCATGTTTTTCAAACTTCGAAATGATGGTGTGGAAATATATCCTAAAAATTATCACAAATTAATCAGAAAAAGATAAATGTCAATAAATTTATTAAAGTGTGTATGATGGAGATTGAATTTAATATGTTGTGAGACTTTTATCAACCATGAATTTGATTCACATAATTCAAATTTTAGATAATTTTTGAATATTTTTCTTTTTTTCAATTTGTAGCATTTTTAGAAATTAATAGGTTGGATTTCATTTTATCTTTTATGGTTTGACTCATCTATTATGGTTTGACTCATCTATGTGTAATTGTTTGTCAATTGAAATTAAGTACATAATTTTCTTATAGTTTATAAATTAAAATGACTAAAATATTCTTGTGCATAATTAATCTTATTGTGCAAACTAAGACCAGTTTGGTTTTTTTGGGAGGGCAAAATTGACTTTAACCTTTATAGTTTACTCCTTATGCATTGTACGAGTAATTATTCAATAATTCAGAACATGGACATATGATATTTCATAGTATTATGATAGATAGAGATAGTGGGTAAGTGAAGTATTGTGTTGGGTGATTAGAAAACATGAGAAGCATATTAAATGATAATTAGTTAGAAAGTACAGACACGTAATATTCTGAGATTATTAAATAGTTTCCAGCATTGTACACTGACATTTGAATCCTTATATGTTAGCACATATTTTACGCTTCTTATTAATTTAAATCAAATATTTGACATTATATTTTTATTTCTAAATGAAGAGAATACACCCCACATGAGGTAAAAGTGAAATCTGACAAAATTAATAATACACCTCACATGTTTACTTAGAAAAAAAACCCCGATAAAAACGGTTGGATACGATACGTGATGGCAACAACTTTGACAAATATGATGATAAACTAGAATCTTTTTGTGTTGTTTGTTTGACAGTTTTTATATTTACATGTGAATGTCGTTTTCATTGGTTGTAATAAATAGAACAGTTAATTCAGTTATTCCAGATATCATGCCACTTCTTTTGGGATTGGCTTCTACACAGCAAAACCATGACCAAGTAATCTGACAACTTGTAAGATTTTTTTTTTTTTAGTTTTTAGTTAAATAAACTATTGACAAAATAGACTTTAGTAGAGCAGTTATATATATTAGAAATTATAAATTAGTGAGAGGTGGAAAAAATTGGAGCGCTCGCTCGATATTCAAATATTCAAATCTCAATTTAGTTTTAAATTTTAATGTGACAAAAATACCCTCATTGTTAACTATAGTAATAAATCTCTTTTTAAAAATAATAATAAACTCTAATCATCTCATGCCCAGCAACTGTCTATTATTTTTCAATTAAATTTTAACATTACTCTCACTATGCTTGAAGATATATTTAACATTAGTTGGAGTTGAAATGAGGGTCTGACATTAGGTAGTTTTTTGGCGGCACTCGGGACATGCTTGAAACAGTCCATACACGTGTGCATAAACAAAAAATGAAAAAACGAATTGTGTGCTGACGCAATGATGCTATCATGCATGCGAGAGAGGTCGTAATAAAAATTAAAGCAATTAACGCAAGAACGAGAAATTGATGTGACAAGAGGAGGTAAGAAAGACACAATCACAATCAAATAATACGAGCGAGTCGACACCTAGTTTTCAAGGGTTAGTGAATGAGAAAAAAGAGTTGCATCATTGAACTGGTGGGGTTTGGGTTTCGTTGTATGTTTTGTCTTGATGTTTGGTTTGGCCTCTTACCACCCATGGTTTTTGTTGTACATCTTTTTCTTTGTATATCTATCTAATTTTGCGGATACAAAATTTTAAAAATTAAAAAATAGATAAAGTTTTGACCCTAATTATAGTGATATAGCCTCGCAAAATTAAATTTATAAGTAAGTTAAATTTTATTTTAGTTCAAAGTTGTGTGTGTGAATTTGCCTTCTCAAAACTGACTCTGAAATTAACCTTTTTTTTGTGAGTCAGACTCATTGTTAAAGTTTATAAATTGTGATTTATGATTCACGAGTTTCACATATAAATTTGAAGATTATTGTTTTATTGTTTTATATATTTCATGTAATTTGTACTTTGATCGACGACGAGGAATGGTGATCCAAAAAATTTGTAATGGGAGCCAAGATAAAGTCATTTAGATTTTGGAAGGGTCAAGCAAAATTATACAAGTTTGGTATTAAAAAGATTTTTTTTTTAAATTTTTTTTAGAGAAATTACAGTTCAGTGAAAATTTCAAAAATTAATTATTGATTGATAAAAAAAATTATCACTTCATACATTAATGTTTGTAAAATTTATCATTAATTTATAAGTATTTTTATAAACATACATTGACATATACTTTTTCCCCTTTCTTTATATAAATACTCAAAATTTCTTAGAGATAATTAGATTTTTATGAAGTTTAGAATAGATTTGTAACTTGATGTTTGGTTTGGCCGCTTACCACCCATGGTTTTTGTTGTACATCTTTTTCTTTGTATATCTATCTAATTTTGCGGATAAAAAAATTTAAAAATTAAAGAATAAAGAAAGTTTTGACCCTAATTACAGTGATATAACCTCGCGAAATTAACGCTATGAGTAAGTTAAATTTTATTTTAGTTCAAAGTTTTGTGTGTGAAATGGCTTTCTTAAACTGACTCTGAGATTAACCTTTTTTTGTGAGTTAAACTCATTGTCAAAGTTTATAAACTGTGATTGATGATTCACGAGTTTCGCATATAAATTTGAAGATTATTGTTTTTTATATTTCATGTAATTTGTACTTTGATCGATGATCGGCAATGGTGGATCCAAAAAATTTGTAATGGGAGTTAAGATAAAAATCATTTAGATTTTGGAAGGGTCAAGTAAAATTATACAAGTTTGGTATTAAAATGCTTTTTTTTTTTCTTTTTTTTTTTAGTTGAGCGAAAATTTCAAAAATTAATTACTAATTGATTAAAAAAAAATTATCTCTTTATACATTAATGTTTGTAAAATTTATCATTAATTTATAAGTGTTTTTATAAACATACATTGACACATACTTTTTCCCCTTTCTTTATATAAATACTCAAAATTTCTTAGAAATAATTAGATTTTTATGAAGTTTAGAATAGATTTGTAACCTGAGTTGGTTCATTCTGGTTGC